CCCGCTCAGCTCTGCGCGCTGCGGCTCCGGCCCTGACAGTGCTCCCTTTCCTCACCGCTCTCCACAGCCCTGTTCCTCGATCGACTGATGAAGCTCAGGCAGGATAGTGGCTACCTCATTGAGGAGATCGGAGATGTGCTGCTGGCTCGGGTGAGGGTGCCCAGCCCCTGCCTCCTCCTGGGGTCCCCTCTTTCCAGCCAGGGACCTGGAATCCAGGCCCAGGGAGGCCAGTCTCAAGCCCCTCTCCCATTAAGACCCCGGGGTCTGGGCCGCTCACTGCAGGCGCCTGTCGAGGCAGCTGTTCCCACGTGAGGCCCGGCTCTTCCCAATCCCACCTGAGACACCCTCCCTGGCCTGAATCTCGCTGTAGTTTGATGGTGCCGAAGGCAGCTGGTTCCAGAAAATCTCCTCCCGCTTCTGCAGCCGCCAGTCATTTGCCTTAGAGCAGCTCAAAGCCAAGCAGCGCAAGGAGCCTCGGTTCTGTGCCTTTGTGCAGGTGAGGGGGAGGCCCGGGTCCGGGGGTGGGGGATTGGGGGAGGCGGTGCTGGTGTCGCAATTCCTGCCCTGTGCCCCCACTGCTGGGCCACTCAGCGCCACTCTGCCCGCAGGAGGCCGAGAGCCGCCCCCGGTGCCGCCGCCTGCAACTGAAGGATATGATCCCCACGGAGATGCAGCGTCTGACCAAGTACCCGCTGCTCCTCCAGAGCATCGGGCAGAACACAGGTGCCAGCGCGCCGGGCCCCACGGCGCAGGGCCCCCGCTTCTGCGGGGCGGGGGCGGGGCGGGCCAGGAGCTTCCTGGCTCAGGGTCACCAGGGCCTGCTTCTCCTTTGCCACAGAGGAGCCAGCGGAACGAGAGAAAGTGGACCTGGCCGCTGAGTGCTGTCGAGAAATTCTGCACCACGTCAACCAGGCCGTGCGCGACATGGAGGACCTGCTGGTACGCCTGGCCGTGGCCATGGGCCCAGGGCAATGGGGCGTCCATGTGCGGGGCTTGGGTGGGCCTTTGTCTTGTCTGTCTCAGGGCCCCTTCTCTGGAGGCCAAGCTCTGCCCTCGGCTTGTCCCCTTCAGGGTCACTGTGGGTCAGCCACAGCCTTCGGGTCCTCCCCGTGACTCTCCCTTCCCCCACCCCCCCGGCAGCGACTCAAGGATTATCAGAAGCGACTGGACTTGTCCCACCTACGTCAGAGCAGCGACCCCATGCTGAGCGAGTTCAAGGTGGCCCTGCCTGACCTGCCCTCCCCGGCCTTCCCCTGCTCTCCGGCAGCCCTGCCCCTCCTGCCCCGGGAGTTCTCTGCTAATGCACCCTAGGAAGGAGAGCCACCCCTCCGCCCAGAGCCCCTCTTCAGTCCCAGCTGGTTGCTCCTCCTGACCCCCGCCCTCCCCTCCCCTGCCGTGCCTTGCGCCAACCGGGTACACCCTCCTGCCTCCAGAACCTGGACATCACCAAGAAGAAGCTGGTGCATGAGGGCCCGCTGACGTGGCGGGTGACGAAGGACAAGGCTGTGGGTGAGCGCGGGGGCCGGGGCCGGGGCCGGGGTGCTGGCGGGTAGGGGCGGCCGCTAAGCCTGGGCCTTGCCCTGCAGAGGTCCACGTGCTGCTGCTGGACGACCTGCTGCTGCTGCTCCAGCGCCAGGACGAGCGGCTGCTGCTCAAGTCCCACAGCCGGACGCTGACACCCACACCCGACGGCAAGACCATGCTGCGGCCGGTGCTGCGGCTCACGTCCGCCATCACCCGCGAGGTGGCCACCGGTGAGGCACAAGCCTGCGGCGTGGGCGGTGACCGACCGGGAGGGCTGGGGAGCATGCGGGGGTGGGGGGGGGCACCAGGGGGCCCCAGCAGAGGCAAAGAAGGCAACCAGGGGACCAGGAGCGTTGTGGGTCTTAGGAAGGGAGCCCGGCAGCTCCCCTGGGGTTTGCAGGCAGCAGCCGGATCTCATCAGTCTTGGGAGATGCCCCCTGGCTGTCTCCTGGGGACCATAGGGGAGCAGGGTGGGGGGGGGACAGAGTTGGGGGTTTGCAGAGGTGCATCAGCGGCTCCAGGGGTCTGTGGGGCGAGCCAGACTGGGGACTTGCTGCCTGATGGACGAGGGGTATGAGATGGAGGCCTTGGGACAAGGCACGTGAGGGATGGCGTGAGCTGTGGGAGCCCGAGGCCACCGCCAGCAGGGCCTGCCCCAGCCTCTAGCCCACACTCAGGGGAAGGCACATGGAGGTGACCTTGGCTCTGAACCCCTTCTTCCTTCTTCCACAGATCACAAAGCCTTTTATGTCCTTTTTACATGGGACCAGGAGGCACAGATCTATGAACTGGTGGCCCAGACCGTGTCAGAACGGAAGAAGTGAGGGTGGCTCCAGTGGACAAGGAGGCCCGGGCTGGGGGGTGGGAGGCTCCGGCACAGGATCTGGGGGCTCTGACTGCCTGCCCCGGGGGCGCTGACCTGTCTCCCCAGCTGGTGTTCCCTCATCACCGAGACTGCTGGATCCTTGAAGGTCCCCGCTCCCGCCTCTCGCTCCAAATCCCGGCCCAGCCCGAGCAGGTGAGGGAGGACAGTGGAGGCCTGAGGAGCCGGGGAGTCTGAGCTCCGGGTGTGTCTGTCTGTCTGTGTCTGTGTGTGCGTGTGCCACCACCACAGCCTCTCTGGCCCCTACCCAGGCTCCTCTGTCTCCATCTCCCAGCCTCAACTTTTTTTTCTGTTTGTGCCCCCCACCCCACCTGCTGTCTCCCTGCTGCCCCCTCCCCAGGGTCAGGGCTGTGGGATCACTTAGTCCTTCCTCCCCCCAGCACCCGAGAGCCCCTGCTCAGCAGCTCGGAGAACGGCAATGGTGGTGGCCGAGAGATGCCCCCAGCGGATGGTGAGCCTTCACGGGGGACGCTGAGGGGGGCGGGCGTCACGAGGAGGCCCGGCAACAGCTGAACACCCCCTCTGGCTTCTGCCTCCTGCCCAGGCCGGACAGAAAGGATCCTTAGCATGCTCCTGCCCTACTCCAGGCCCGGCCCCGAGGGCCAGCTCGCTGCCAAGGCCCTGGAGAAAGGTAGGCCGCGCGGGGCTGCCTCTAGCCCCCCTTCCCAGCTTGGCTCCTGCCCAGGCCCAGCGCGCCCGGCCTGCATCACCACTCTCAGTGGCCCCAGGCCCCCTCTTCCTTCCACAGCCTCTGTCCCTCCCTTGACCTTCTGTTCAGCCTCTCCCTGGACGCCCTCCACCCTCTGTGTTCCTTACCTCTCCTCTGCACCCCTTCACATCCCCCAGCCCCACCTTCCCCTCTGGGACCCCCCCTGCCAGCCTTCAGCCTCTTTCCCAGCCCTGCTTCTGACTCTGTCCCCTTGTCCCTGCCAGTGCTGTCCCTGAAGCAGCTCCTATTTCCCTCGGAGGAAGACAGCGGGGCGGGGCCTCCCCGTGAAGGGGATGGGGTCCCAGGGGGCGGCTCCCAGAGCCAGAACCAGACCCAGGAGATTCGGGAGAAGCTGCTCAGCCTGGAGGAGACTGTGAAACAGCTGGAGGTGGCGCCCTAGGGGGAGGAGTGGGGTGGGGGGAGACGGAGCGGACTCCGGACTCCGTGGAGGGACTTCTCTCACTGCGGACTCTCCAATCAGGAGGTGGAGGAGGAATTTTGTCGCCTGCGACTCCTCCTGTCTCAGCTCGGGGAGAACGCTGCCCCCCAGCCTGGCTGTACCTGAGGCTCCTGGCCCCAGGCAGGTGAGTGGAGAACTGGAGGGACCAGAGTGGGCGTCTCAGTGGCTCCCTTCTCTACAGCCCCCTGCTGCTCTCTCCCTCTGCCTCAGTCTCCCTGCATGTCCCCATTCCACCTCCTGCGCCCTCCTTCTCAGGCTCTTCTGTGTTCTGCCCTTCCTCTCTCCCTCCATCTTCCCCCCTCCTCCCTCTCTCCCTTTCTCTTCATCTCTCCCCATCTCCCTTTTCCTACATCCCCCAGGCCTTTCGCAAGACTGAGGGCCACCCGCTGCCACCGCACAGCTGCCGCCGCATCTCCACCCCAAGGGCCTGAGGAGAGGGAGCTGGGCTGCTGGGGCAGGGGGGCTGTGCCTGGGGGGGTCCCGCTGGGATCACTGCCTCCCCGCAACCTCCCATGGCCTGGGCCTTCTCTCCCTCCTGTCTTGTGCTTGGGGGACTCAGGGCTTCCTTCCCAGGGGGACCACAGTGACCCTGCCATGCCCTGGACCATCACAGTATTGCCGGGGGGGGGCACCCCTCCATTCCCCACCCCCAAGTGCCTTTGCTCTGTTTTTATACCCTGAATTGGAGGTTTATTTTTTAATATATATTATCTAAGGAGAGCTCTGTGTCTGTGAGGATGGGTGGGGGCCCCGGAGTGGGTTCTGGAACCCTCCGTGACTGACTGGCATCACTTTCCTGGGTCTGTCCCACTGCCTTTGTCCAGTCCTTCCTTCCTGGGTTTTGCCAGCGACTCCCCAGGTGACGCACCCACCCCAAGCCCCAACTCACCCGTGACGCCCGGATCCTGCACAGCTCATGCTCCTTTCCGTTCTTTTATTTTTGTAGTAAACTCTCTGGAGGTGGCTAGTGGGGGTGGTGGGGAGGGGGCCCTCCTGGGCGGGGCTGGGGGCGGGGTTATTGCTCTGAGCTCCCTGTCCCAGGGGGCTTGTGTGGGGAGGGGGTCAGGGCTGGGGCCGGCACAAGGGGAGACACAGCCGCACAAACACACGGGGCACAGCCCGGGGGGGGGGTGGGCAGGAGAGGCTGGGCGCCATATTGCACTTTGGGAGTGGGGCCAGGCGGGGACCCCCCTCAAACAAGCCTGGGCAGGAGGCTCTAGGCCGTCACGTTCCCTCCCTCTCTGGATGGGGGAGGGGAGACCCCAGCCTGGGGTGAGGGAAGAAGGTGGGCAGCCAAGTGCCCGGTCCTGGGAGGGGGTTGAGGGCTGGTCCCCGGCCTCGGGCGGGACATGGAGGGCAGGCCAGGCCAGGCACAAGTGGCTGCCCAACCCCCACCCTGGTGAAACCCTTCACCCCACACGGGTTCAGCTGCCGCTCCCCCCTTTGCTTGCCTTGGCCTTGGGGGGCACAGGGAGGCCCTCGTCGCCCTCGCTGTCAGAGCTGCAGCCGCTGACGTCCGTGATCTCCAGCTCCGAGTCGCTGTCGTCCTTCCCACCCAGTGTGGCCTCCGGACCCCTGGCTCCCGGCAGCGCCAGGCGAGGGGCTGCTGCCAGGCCTGAGGGGCGCTCGGGGCCCAGGCCCTCCCCTGCCGCAGCCAGGAGGGGTGAAGTCGCAGGGCCTCCCCCAGCCCCTGCTGAGGGCAGGTGGCCCAGGGTACTGGCCAGAGGGTTAGGGTAGAAGTGCGGGGGGTACAGAGAGGGGGGCAGCTTGGGGAAGGGGCCGGTGAGATACGGGTTAAAGTTCCAGGGGTAGTCTGGAAAGGCGCGGCTGTAAGGACCCAGCAGGCTGGGGGGCTTGGAATAGCCAGTGGCACCTGGGGAATATGGGGTGGGTCAGACTGGGCACACCGCCACCGTGGGAAGGTGCCCCCACCCTGCGCCGTCTGCCGAGGTCTGCCCATTGTGTCTCCCACGCAGCGTCTGCCCACTCTCCACCTTCATCTGGTTTTTCCAGTCCTTTGTCGCCTAAAAGCCCCTCTCCCAGCCTGTCCCTGTCCCCGTTTCTCCCCTCCCTCTCCCCAAGTCCTCCTGTGGCTTTTAAACACAGGCACACACCTTCCTGCATCCTTCCTCTCCTCATCTTTACCCATCCTCTTCCCTCAGACACGGGCAGTGTGCCCCCCCCCCCAAAACCAGCACCCCCACCTGCAGGCCCTTACCAGAGCCCAGGAACGGAAAAGGGCTGTCCAGACGCAGCTTGTCTGTCTCAGGAGGGAACAGGGGCGCCCGGGCCCCTGGCTCTCCCAGGCGAGGGGCCGAGAACAGGGTCTGCAGTGTCTGCAGAGGGAGGCGAGGGAGGCAGCACAGCTTAGACTGGCTGGGTTGAGGGCTGGAGAGAGGGCACCAAACCCCCCAGTTTGGGGACCCCAGTGTCCTAACTCACCTCGGGGGTAAGGGGAGGAGCATCTGGCCCAGGCGTCCCCCCAAAGGGACCAGGGGTCAGCAAGAGTGGGGAGCCCGTGGTGGCTGCTGCCACATCCAACAGTGGGTAATTGACAAGTACGACTTTGCTGAAGTTGAACTTGTAGGTGAACCTCTTCCCTTTGGTCTTATGGAGAATCCGCTTGTTGTAGTAGTAGCTGTGGGGAGAGGGAGGACGAGGGGATGCTGGGGAGGGGCACCGAGGGAGGTAAAGAGGGCACCCCTGACTCATTAGTGCACAGAGCACTAGCAGGGAAACGGAGGTTCACAGAAGTCCTTTAACCAAGGTAGCAAGGCAGGGGTGAAGCAGGGGCTGGGGTCCTGGCTTCTGGCCTTCCTCCTCGCGTCCCTCCCTCTCAGGTAATCGCAGGAGCTACCCCATGGAGATCCCTGCGCCTTGGGATCCCAGGGATTGTGCCCTGGCAGACCGAGAGCAAACCCCCAGGGCCGGCCTCCCCCTGCCCCTCCTCACCGCAGGGCCCGGCTCAGCTTGTCGTAATTCATGTGAGGCTTGCACTTGCGGATGCCCCAGAGCCGAGCCACTTCGTCGGGGTCCTTGATGACGAATTCCCCGTAGTCCCCCTGCCAGGCGATGACCCCCTGATACTCCTCCTTCTGCAACAGCTCCAGGATAAAGTGCCACAGCTGGATCTGCCTCGAACCAGGGGACGACTCCGGCTTGTAGGCCCAGTCGGGGAAGGCAAACCCTGGGGACGGGAGGCAGGGGAGTGGCCCCAGGTCAGGACGCCAAGTCCAAGGCTCTGGGTCCCCCGTGGACTCGGGAACCGGGAGGCCCCCCTGAATCCTGGTCTCCGAGGAGCAGCTGCCCAGCCTCAGCCATCTTTAGGGAACCAGTTCCCACTCTATCCCAGGTGGCGTCCAGGCCCCAAACTGCCCAACAGTGGCAGAGAACTCTGGGTTGGCACCTGCAGCTTCCTCCTCTACCTTGGCACAACTCGTCCATGTTCAGGGTCGGGGTAAAGTGTGGGGAGGCCACGGGAGCGGCACCCCTCCTCGTCCACAGCCCTTCTCCCACTGCCCCCTCCAGCCTAGCCCCAGGAGGCCTCTGGTCTCGCCTGCTCTCGGGAACACCCTCAGTCTTGCTGTCTCCCCTCCTCCCATGCCCTTGCCCCCCAACCGCCCCCCCCTGCTCCATCTCTCCCTGACGCCCTCCAGTGACCACAGGCTGCCACGTCCAGGCCTGTCTGCACATTCATACCTTTCACGTCCTGTGTCCCCTCCCTACGTCTGTGCTCTGACGCTCTGAGCGCCCGTGTGTCAGCAGACACCCACAGCGTACAGGTCCCACAGACGTCCACTCACACTCCAGGGGTGCCTGGCGACACCACGGCCCACGGGGGGGCAGCAGAGTGGGGCGTGGCAGCTCACACACAACGTGCCTCCGAGGCAGGCCCTCCAGACCCCTGGCCCTGCACTCGTGCATCTCGGGCCCCTCAGAACAGGGCCCCGCTAACCACACTGCCACGTCAGGAGACGCACAGGACCGCAAAGGCCCAGCTACCAGTGCGGCATCAAGACAAGCACAGGCACACACGGGGTGACACCACACCTGTCCCCCTTTGTCTCAGAGACCTCAGACCCAGACATGGGGATGGAAGGATCAGCCCGGAAGGAACTAAGCTTGAGCTGGGAGAGCAGCCACGTGACCTACGTGCTGCGCACTCCCAGGGCAGGTCCCTGCCCTCTCTGGCTGACTAGAGTTTCAGGGGTGGGAGGCAAGGAGCAGCAGGGTCCCATCTGGGCTGCCTGGTGTGCCCCTGGGTGCTAGTGCCTCCCCTGCTGAAGGCTCAAAGGCCAGGCAGCTTCCTCCCTGAAAGGATAATTTTTCTCTCAGCCCCATTTTGGGTCTTTCTTACTCCAGGAGACAGAGCTCCATCAACCCACGAGCTCTGGCACATTCCACACCTGGAACACATCCTAGTGTGGAAGAGGCAACCCCAGAGATGACACCACACAACTGGCCACACACGCACAGATACACACCCCAGTCTGGAGCCACCATCTGTCCTCAAACACACGTCCCCAGGTACATTGTACCTGCTGACGCACGAGAGGACCCACCTCAGCCCACAGACGACCCACCTCAGCACACATGACGACCCCCCAAAGTCCATCACACTCAGTGAAACACAGATGCAAGAAACCTCCTGACACACACACCCCAACACACACACAGGCCTGGGGGCACCCACCCATCCAGCCCGAAGCCCACTGAGACCCCCATCCTGGACCCCGGCCCAGACCCGGAAGTAACAGCAGCAAGCTCCTCACCCCACGGAAGCAGGGACGTACTTGGCGAGCTGGCCCCCCCCCCCCCGCCGCCAATCCTGAGACGTAAGCATGCTCGCCATCCCAAAGAAACACCACCTGCCCGGCGCAGAGACACCCAGGTAGGCTCCCATGTGCGTGCAAACAGGCACAGCGGCTCACACAGACTGACGCCACACAGACATACTCTCCCAGTGTGACCCCTTCTTCCAGAAGCTCCAAAGCGTGACACAGGGACACATTCTGAGACCCCACGTAGAAGCAGGCACAGACTCCCAGTCCGCGCGCGTGCACACACACACACGCACTCGCGCAGACATACACTGCCCATCTGAGGGGCGTGTGACTTGGCACATCCAAGCCAGTCTTACTGTCCACATCCCCAGCTCTGAGTGTCCACTTCTGAGCAGGCCGTCCGTCCTCTCTCCCAGGGCTCCAGCGGGCCAGGCCATGTCTCCATGTCCCCCTGCCCAGGCAGTCCCTGTCTGTCTGTCCACCTGCGCCTGGTCTGTTCCCCCATGGTCCCCGCCCCTGCTCCGTCAGTGCCTGGCCATCTCCATTCTCCTTGCCTCTCTTTGCCGGAAGGTCCTGGACGGGAGCAGGCTGAGAGGTACGCAGCCGGACCCCAGGACCTCAGACCCCTGAATCCTGTCTATTTCAGACCCCGATACCTCCCCCACCCTCCAAAGACCCTCATGACCCAGCAGGCAAGTGGCAGAGACAGCTGGCTGTGAAGTTTTTAGCCAAGTTTCTCATTAGGGGGTTGCATTGAGGGGACTGAGAGAGAGACCGGGACAGAGAAGGGAGGATGAGGAGAGGTGCAGAAAGGAGGAGCTGGCTGGCTGGGAAGGGGAGGGAGGTCCGGGCCAGGGCCAGTTACCAGGGGTCCAGAGAGCCGGCAGGGCGGGCGGGGCGAAGAGAAGGTCGGAGACGCAGCTACAGTCCATGGTGGAGCCAGCCCTGCAGAGAGGCCGGGACAGACACACACGGACAGGCAGGCAGGAGAGACAGACAGGGGTCAGTGGGGTGGGCGCTCCGCCCAGGCCCACCCATCCTGCCACCCGCCGCCCTCTCCACCCACGGCCAGCCGACCCTTCCTCCCGAAGCCTCCTCCTCCGCCCGAAGCCTCCTCCTCGCTCTGTGCCTTGATCACTACCCACAGCGCCCCCCGGCCTCCCTCCCCACTGCTCCCACTGGCTCGCTCGCTCGCACTGGCTGGCTCGCCCCCTGCCCGCCCCGTGCAGGCTCTGCCGCCGCCTTCTCTCCAGCCGCTCTCCTGCGCCTGACCTCTCGACCGTCTCTGCGACTCCGTACCTCTCTCTGGCCGACCCAGATTTGTCTCGCTTTGAACCTCGCCCCCACCCCATGGCCCGCCCAGCAGACCCCAGGGCTGTGGCTCCTCTAGCTCCCAAGCAGCCCCCAGCTTTCATCTGCCAGAGCCAGCCTGCCCGCCCCGCACCCTGCGGGAAGGCTCCCACGGCTGCCCCTCCCCAACCTGCTGCCCGGCCCGGACCCCTGCCACTTGCACCAGCGCCCCCACCCCTCAGACACCCCGTCCCCTCGGATCTGCCTCCCCCACCAAACAGCACCCCAGACACCCCTGCCCCTCGGCTCTGGTCCCCCCACCAAACACCCCAGACACCCCGTCCCCTCAGATCTACCTCCCCCACCAAACAGCACCCCCCAGACACCCTTCCCCTTGGATCTGCCTCCCCCTGAGATAGCCCCCTAGATACCCCTCTCCTTACATCTCCCCCTCAAATAGACCTTCCCTCAAACATCCCTCCCAACAGCTCCACTCAGACACTCTTCATCCTTGGATATGTCTCCCCTCGACACAGCCCCCCTCAGACACTTCTGCCCTTTAGATCTACCCCCCCAAACAGTACCCCTCAAACACCCATTCCTCCTCAGACATATGCCCCCCCAGAAACCCTTACCCCTTTGGATCTGCCTCCTCCCTCAGACAGCTCCCTGCAGACCCCCTTTCCCCCTTGGATATGCCCCCCCTCAGACCCCTACTCCTTCAGATACCCCATCCCCCTGAGACACTCCCTCCCCTCCTCTCCTGTCTCTCAGAACCTTTACCTTCCGCCAGCCCCTCCCCTTAGATGCCCACTATCTCGGACACCCCCCCACATCTAACCCTCAGACATCTGCTCCTCTCAGACACCCACCCCTCAGACACATCTTCCCCCTCAGATACCTCAGCCCCTCGCCATGTCACCCCTTGAGACCCCCTGATCCCAAAGAAAGCACTTTCCTCAGACCCCCTGACTCAGACACACCTGCCTCAAATACCCCACACCCGTGACGTGACATGCTCTCGAATACAGCATTCCTCTCAGACATCACTCTGCCCAAAGATCCCGGACAGCTGTTCTGTTCCCCAGAAACCCCACCTCACCCCTTGGATGCCAGACAAGACTTGGCAGATGGCCCGTTCCCTCCAGACCTGTCCGGTCCCTACGGACACCCAGGTGCCCCCCCTACCCCGCCACCCAGTGTCCCCTGCATCTCTCCCACAAGATCCCCTCCGGCACTCAGACCCCCTGCCACCTCATTTGGCTTCTTGGGGGTCCCCCCACTGCCTGCAGCCAATCTGCCCCCACGGCCCTATGTCCCCTCTGTCTCCTGTCCAATCTCCCCAACTTTCTCTGCTGCTCTCCTTCCCGGTCTCTCCCGCTCTGTTTCTCTGCACACATCTTTTTCCCCTTCTCTGTCTCCCCTCATCTCTTTTCCATTTTTCTGTCCCTCTTTCCTGGTCTCCCCACAACCCAGGGGTCTCCTCCCATCCTTCCCCACCCCCTCTCCCTAACCCCGTGTCCCCCCCCCCCCCCCCCCCCCCCTCCCCCCTCTCTCCCTTCCCCACGCCCCCTCTCCTCCCCACCCCATCCCTTCTCCCAGCTCTCCCCTCTTCCCCCTGTGCCCCCACCCGGCCTCTGTGCCCCCAGCCCATCCCGCCTCAGTCTCCCCATCTCCCTCCCGGCTCCGCACCTCGCTGGCCACCTCTCTCCCACCACCCGCTCGCTCTGCCTCTCCGGGTCCCCCTCCCTCCTGCCTCCGCCCCCGCCCCCACCCCCATTGGCCCCTCTCATTTCCGTGTTGGTTTTGATTTCTCTTCCCAACGCTTTCAACTCCCCGCCGCCTCCTCCGGACACGTTATAACGAGGAGCCGTGGGATCGGCGCTCCGGGCCCTGCTCCCACGCTCCCCCCGCGTCTCTCACATGCATCTCTGCCATCTCGCCCTCTCTGCCGGCCCCTTCTCTGTCCCTACCTCTGTCCCATCGGGCCCGCAGGGACTGGGTCCCTGCCCCGACTGTCGGGGTCCACAGAGCCATGTCTCAGGGTCCCCGTGTCCCTGTATCAGGATCCCCACGTCTCCCTATCTCCACACCGCTCTTTTATGTTTCTAGGTGTCCACGTCTCTCCTCCCCACATCCTTGTCTCCGCATCCCTCAGTCTCTGTCTCCATCTGTCTCTGTGTCTCTGTTTCGTCCCAGTGTCCCTCTCCTGGGGCCCCTTTGATCTCACCCTGCCCCTGGCGCCCCCCTGGCCCCATTGATCGCTGATTGACCGATGGAAGGAGCGGGGCCTGCGGGGCCAGGGCTACAGGGCCGGGCAGGAGCGGGGCCTGCGGGGCCGGGGCTGCAGGGCCGGGCAGGGGCCCCAGTAGGACTCTGGACAGACGGACAGCCGGCCCCAGACCTGGTAGCTGTGGAGGGGGAGCTGCGGCAGCCCCTGCCCCGCCAGTCCGCGCCATGCGGATGGGGACTCTGGGCAAGCTTTAATTTTTAATTTTATTTTGCTTCCTCCACCCCCCCGCCCCCCATCTCCACAGCCTGCAGCCACGGCACAGAATGTGTGTGTGTGCAGCAGTGGGAGCAGGGCTGCGCAGGCAAGACGCTGCCGCTCTCTTCTCCCTGCCAAGCAGACACACAGCCCAGGCACACACACCACACTGCCACACACAGCACACAGACACGGGTCAACAAAATCACACACACAGGACACCACACTGACATGGGCCAAGAGTCATACACACACATGCCACACAGACACAGGTCACCAAAATCACGCACACACCACACCACACCAACACGGGTCCAGAGTCACACACACACCACACCGTCACAACACATCGCACACAGGTCAACAAAGTGATACACACCACACTGTCATGCCCAACCCATCACACAGACACAGGTCAACAAAGTCACATATATCACACTGTCACACACCACACAGACATACCATCAGCTGAGTGACACACACACCACTGTCACACACACAACACACATCACACCAATGTGTGATGCACATGTCAACAAAATTGTATGCAAAAAGACTAACAACCCACACACATCACACAGACCCACAGAGCATGGTGGCACACGTACCACCATGTCTCATGCGACACACAGACATACAGGTCACAAGGGTCACACACTCCATGACCGTCACACACACACCAGGATGGCCACAGATACTCACAGAGAAACAAACACATGGTTGGTTAAACGTAGACACACATACAAGACACACACCAATTCAGTGCCACACAGAAGCAAAGACGCACCATCCCCACAGACAGAAACCCACCCACACAGACACAGAAGGACACACTGAGGCTCACAATCAAAGGCAGACACACAGACTCTATGCCACCCAGGAACAGAAGCCCACCCAGACACACCCCCTGCACAGCCAAATCCCACACAGGTGACACCCAAAAGCACCCAGTGTCCCATAGACACGCACCAGAGGCCCTGCGTGCACACTGCTCCCACACTCACAGAGCCAGAGACGCATGTGTGGCACCCATACAGACAGCCACCACGAGACCACAAACACACGTGGACCCATCCACCCACCCCCACACACACGGGCCAGCCCACACAGCGGCACACTCAGACCCAAAGGCCAGCTGGGTGAGGGGCTGTGTCCGGCTGAGGTGGGCCCTGGGAGCTGAAGCCACCCTGGGCCCCTGCTGCTCCTGCCACCATCAATCCAGCTGTCTGACTGTCCCCCTCCATCCATGCACTTCTCACGCCTTGTGTGGGCATGCGCGAAATGGGCACGGCTCAGGCCTACTTCTGCTACCATCTCCCCAGAGACAGGGCTCCCGGCCTCCTTGAGGCCCACAGGGCTGCAGGGTCTTGCTCACTGAGGTCTTTGTTGTTCCGTCTGCCTCTAGCTCCAGATGCCTCTGTTTCTGAGGGCCTGAGTTTCTCGTCTCTGTCTTGGGGCATCTCTGTCTCTCTCTATCTCGGGGTATCTCTGGCTCTCTGCATCTCTCTCTCTCCCATCGCCTCTGTCTCCTCACCCCCCATCACCCCAGCCCCCTGGGCTGGGGTTTAACCAGTTGTTTTGATTTCTCTAAGCTGCTCCAGCCGCCTCGGGAGCCGCCTCGGGCCTCGCCCCCCCTCAACAGCCCCTTCATCCCTCACCCAGTACCCCCTCCCCTTAACACAATCTGCACAAGTGGAATGAAAATTGATTTTTTTTTTAAATTTCATATCTTCTCCGGGGCTCTGTCTAAAGAGGAGAGAGACGCGGCCCAAGACCCTTCTCCTGCCGCCACCCCAGCACACGCGTGCACACACACACACACACCCAACAGGCACACACATCACGCCTGGACACGCACACACACTCCCACACTCCGCCTGCCCCCACCCGGAGACACACCCCTCCCTGTGCCACACACCCACGAGGACACAGCTGTGCCCGTAGCAGACACACACGCAGACTCCTGCACACACTCTCCAGGCACCCCCAGTAGGCACAGTTCACACACCCTGTCCCATCCTGGCGCACAGAGCCCGGCGGCCTGTTGACACGCTGTGGCACGCGTGCACGCACACGCACATACACACACCCCTGTCCATACAGATCACAGCCACATCCAAGCATACACGAGTTCGAGGGAGGCCCCACTATGGG